TACAACCTACAGATTAGCGGAAGGAATCCCTACCTGACCACTTCTGGCGCTCCCAAAAAGCTCTTCACGTCGACGAGGAATTTTCCCGGGGAGATGTACATTGGAAACCATGAATTTGCCAGTGAGTTTTTTCTTTCCAAAGTTTATCCTGAATTTCTTCTTGGTGGAGACTTTTCTTTGCAGATCGAGTAGCTTCTCTTATGTCCTTCTCTCCTTCCAAACCCCCTCTCATCGTCGAAGGTAACCCTGGTATGGGTCTCCTAACCTACGCCATGTTGGAGAAAGGTGCGAAGAAAATCCGGGCCTTTGAAGGAAGAGCTATCTTTGTTTACAGACTACAGGTAAAATGACTGTGACATTCTATCTTATACGTTTTCTTGTGTCATTTCATCATTTCGTGAAGTCGTATCATTTACAGTATGTAAATTTCGTGCCTTCTTAACTCCTGTGCTGCTTCGATGACTTCCTAGGCCATGCAAAAGCATTATGGATATGACAGGCTCGAACTCGTTTGTCCGTACAATGTTTTCGACTACTTCAAGAAGTCCACAAAGAAACTGGACTTGCAGATTATCGCTGCCATGGCCAAAGCCGAAGAGTCCGCCCCCACTGATGCCTCGGCGGATTCACCAGACTTCTCTCCGTCCACTGCTCCCAACAAAGTGGGCTTCAGCCTCGAGGAGCGCCTTGATCTCATGCTGAACCCTTCAAAAGGAGAGCCTCAAGAATGGTCGGACCCTGTTCCTGCGCTGAAGTTCGTCGGCGTGGTCCCACAACGGTGCGAAAGCGTCTTCTTGCGAAGGCTGCTGGACAATGTCGCCAAAAGAAAAGGCTTCTGCTCCCTTGGAAGGTAATACACATCCGTGAATTACTTTAACCTCTTATAATCGGTGAGTTCTGAAAACACCTTCAGAAATGGCGAAACACGAAGTCGATGTATCTGGCAACCACCTGCATACATGTAGGCTTTGTCTGGCGCAGGGTTCACTGTATGCATGGTCACGTCAGATCTAATTAATGGGGCTTATTTGATCATGTACCTGCATACCACGGACCTTAGAGTTATATAGTGCATGGTCATACGCGGGTAACACAAAATTATCTTCTTCTGGTTTCAGGGCGGAATTCTTCCTGCTGGTGTCTCCACGGACCTACACCATGCTGACCACACAACCTGGACCAAAGACAAACCTCCAAGTTTTCCGCTGGATGTCCATAGCAGCTCAAACCTTCTTCGATATTACCGCACTGGACACGGCACCTCGATCCTCTCTTCTGCCTCCAGTCCCAAAGTCCAAAGTCGAAGAAGCAAGCACCCAGTGGACGTTAGTCAGACTGACGGCCAAACCTGATTTACCTGACTTGATCGACTGGACGCTCCTACCTGAGTTTATCTTCTTCCTCAAACAAGCCATGACGGCACGGTTAAAACCCGTCGTTCAATGGCTGGAAGGGTGAGTCATAAATTTCTTTGATATTTTCGGCAATGAAACTCGACGTTCATGTTTTCACCAACGGGCGCACTACTTCGGTGTGGGGAGTTAGAATCGTGCGCCACTTGGGAAAATCAGCAGTCAAACTGGTTTTTAAACTGTCTCTTGAAGTGACGCACGACTGCGGTGTCAATAGCTGAAAGTGTGCTCCACTTGGGAAAAACGTTCTTATCCAGTCTGTTTGTCTACGTTTCAATTAACTTCTTTCGAAAGGCGGATATAATCATATTCATGTTGTTCTCTGTTTGAAGGTGGATACCGGGCTACGGGAAGAAATATCTGGATCAAGGTAACAACATGTACATTCGGACGGGTGACTTGACAGCCCACCAGTGGACAGAGCTGTTTCGTGATATAGTAACTTCTGGTGATTACGCCAGTAGTAATCTGAAGATTGCTTTTGGTACGAGTGGTCAGTCGTTAGATGTGCTGGACGCTGATGAAGATGAACTAGAAGATGATAAGATCGTTTCGAGTATGGGATGAATAGTTTTAGTGTAAAATGTTCCGACTACTGTTTTTCGATGTGGAGCTTGTACCCTCAACGTCAATCGTACTTCCTACTTTCTTGCTTGATTTTTATTTTGTTCGATTAAAGCTCGCGATGGTCCCCATGACGTATATTTCTCTTAGAAATGATCAGCCTTCTTGGGTATAACCGTTTAACATGAAAAGTGGAGCTGTCATGTCATATGACGCTGCGTAACCTGCTAGCTGACATGACAAACTACAGAACTGTTACCGAAGCGGCCTCTCTTTCAAGTTTCAATCCTCTCATAGGCTTCATTCCATTCCCAATATCCCATCTTCCTCTCGTTTCCTTCCGTCAAATCTCGTCTAATCGCTAGGAATCTTACTTGCCTTCTCCTTCTTTGATCCCCGGAAAACATGGCAGGTCGAAGCTTCAACAACTACGGTAGAGGAGGTGGTGGTGGTGGCGACTTCGGAGGTGGGTAACGATAATCAGCTGACGATTCGGCTTGAACCAGGTCGCTTTCCCATGTGGTGCACGCTTTCAGCTAATAGTAAGCGAAACCTGCGCCACTTGAGATGGTGACTGTCTAAATGTCTAACGTAAATCATCTGTCCCTTATGCCAACGTTGCCTTTCTTTCCCTTATCTAGGAGGTGGTGGAGGTTTCAATAACACACAGTACGGCGACGGTGGAGGCTACGGTGGCGCAGGAGGTGGTGGATATGGAGACAACGCTGGATATGGTTTTACTGGTGGAGGAGGCTTCTTGGCTGACGGACAGAATGACAACTCCATGACCCAGGCTGGAGGAGACAAGAAGGTTTGGAGCTCGTTTTCAGATACGCTGAAGATTGTATTATCAGAGTGTTTATTCGTAGGGCGCTGGAAGAAGCCCAGAAGTAGTGCCTGTGACGATTGCCGAGATCAGACAGAATATGACTGGATCAACTGACGACAGGATGCGCATTGGCAACGTCGAAGTCCATCGAGTGAGTACTTCCTTTCATCTTGTGACCTGATTTATCTCCGTTCTTCCCTCTTGTGCTCTGTCAGTTCATCTGTAGAACTCGGAGCGTGCGAGAAGCTAGGAGATAATTCCCGTTGAAATTTTGAAGCCGTTGGAAAACAATTCCTGTTTTCGGTCAATCAACCAAAAATTCAACTCGCATCAGTCAGCCAGGCTTTATTGTCTATGCTGTATGCCTGACCGTGCGGCTGACGTCACTAACAGTAGCCTTCAGGCATGCCTGAAGGCTTTCTGACGTCAAGAGCTCGTTTTTGGAAGTCATCGCACCACAGCTTTGTTTCCACAGCTGCCCGAATCGCAGCAGTTTCCGGTGCAGTTGGAAGCTCTTTTTTAGCTTAATGTAACAGTCGCCCTACGTTCTATAGGTGGTGGTTGTGGGACAAGTAAAAAGAATCACCCATTCAGCGACGGCAGTAACGTACGAGCTGGATGACAAGACAGGCCAGACGATCGAAGCGAAAATGTGGCTGGATTCCCCGGTAAGAAAGTACAGTATCATTCATATTTTAATCCTTTCGAGAGAAGCAATGTAACTGTGGTTTGTCTTGCAGGAAGATCTTCAGAATCAGTTGTCCACCGTCGAAGTCTCCAAATACGTGCGAGTCTTTGGTAGCTTGAAGACGTTTCAGAACACCGTCAACGTGGTCGCCTTCGCCATCATCGAGATCCAGGACATGAACGAAATCTCCATGCACATCCTCGAAGTCGTGCATTCTCACGCCGTTCTCAGAAAGATGTCCGGAGAGTCGGTAAGTTTTTGAGAGTATGACAACGATAGAAACAAACTTAACATTGTTGGAATTCTTTTCTGAATTAATCAAGAAATTATTTTATAACTCAAAAATACTGGTTAAAATGATTCTGTTATTTTCAGGGTGGTTCCGCTGGGGCCAACCAAGCTACAAAGTACCACAACTCGACCACCGTGGTCGGTGGAGTTCAGAGTATGGGTGGTGGAGATGACTACAATAACGGATATGGCGCCAATATTCCTCAAGGCTTCAACGCCTGCCAAGCCGCGGTAAGAAGTCCTCGTTTTGGTCCGTACTAACCTATGTCAGTTGTTAGAGTCTTTTCTCCTGTTTATAGGTGTTCCAACACATTCTACAAAATAGTGCCGATGAACAAAACGACGGCACCGACGTGAACGAACTGGTCAACCTCATGGCCCGACAGTTTCCGAAGCATGAAATCCTGTAAGTGAAACTGAACTGAGTGCTCGGCAGAACATACTCCGAAAAGATCATTTTGCTAAGCGGCGTACGCTTTCGATGATATTGTCTGGAAACATGCGCCGATCGGAAATACCGTCTTGCCGAGTTTGATTGTATATCAAAGTGGCGCATGTCCTCAGTGTTATCTGTTGGAGTATTGCGCTACTTGAAAACGATCTTGACGAATTTCGTTTCCAAGTGGCGCACTGTTTCAGTGCTGCTGGCTGAGAGCGTGCGCCACTTGGGAAAGGATCTGGACGAGTTTGTTTGCCGAGCTCCCAGTTTGCAAATTCGGCCGTGTGTTAATCGGATGGAAGTTCTCTGACAGTATGTGCACTTACAGGGGAGCAGTCGACTTGTTGAACCAAGAAGGTCACATTTTCTCCACCATAACAGATCATCATTTCAAAGCAATGGGTAGCAATTAGTCTGTTTATGTTGGACTTGTTGTACTCAATTGCACTACTCCTGTCTCTACCAACTTCAACCAAAATACACGTTGTGATAGCTTCATTTTCCTTCCAGCAGATGTTTTGTACTGTTGATTCATGCCTTTTTATGGACGATAAACCCTGGTTCCTTCTTTTTGCTCTACCTCGCTGTTCAGTAAAGTTCTTGTCGTCAACTTGCAGTTTGAATTGAAAGATGTATCATCGGTGCGTGTGTTAGTGACGGGAATGGCGAAAAAAGTTTTACCGTTACGTATAGTTCTCATTTCAATCAGATCGACCACATTTTTGGCCAGATGCGGTCGCGCAAAGGCGATACGTTTTCATCGATAGTGCAAACGGTGCCCGGCTAGCTCAGTCGGTAGAGCGCGAGACTCTTAATCTCGATGTCGGGGGTTCGAGCCCCCCGTTGGGCGACTTTTTTTCTCCAGAACTGAATAATTTTCACTACAGTGTCTGGGAACATAAATAAGACCAAAAGGGCAACGCAGGTTTGAGCGGTCGTCTGAATTGTCGTTAACAATTTAGATCGTATTCACACCCTGTATGCCTGGGACTCGCTGTCTTTAACACCTTGAGCACGCGGCGGGAAACTCACTCTCCCGGCACACACTCATTTGTCCGTAGCGAAGTTCCAGTTTATCTTTTGTTCCCCGTTTTTTCCGTTTCCTCGAACAATCAAACCTTCTTCAAACCAAAGCTAGCGGCTACTGGACACTGGCTTTGCAAACCTGTCTGGAACTATTCTCCTTTTTAAAGGAATTCCGCCGTAGCCAGCAAATTGCTTTTCAGCAAGGCTCTCAGTTAGTCCAGAGTCACCAAAATAATTGCTGCGCGAGTCCAAACATTTTAGTATCTTGCGACAGTTTCAGTTTCGTGAAAAGATCTGCCCAGTGGTCATGAAAGAATCACGAAGCCTGGCCGTTTTGAGTTGGCAGGTGGTGCAGGTGGCGCACTTCCCAAATTTTGACCAATCAACGAGGTGGTAATTGGTTTAATTTGGCACCGCCCCCAAGTTTTAACCAGTTAAAATAAGGCGAAAGTGACTTTCCCGCATCGTATTCTGAAAGCACAAAATCGCGTAGTGCTCAAGGTGTTAAGGATTTCCCAGACAGTGACGCCCATGTTGCCATGGAATATTACCACTTTGTGGCTTAAAATTCGAACTTAGCACTTTCTTTTGCTTCGCGTTTTAACAGTCTGTTACCAGCTGTCTCGGAATCATATCGTTCGCGACAGATGTAAAACCAGTAGAGGAATGGCTTGTGTAGAGTGCTGTCTAAACTTCCGTCACGAATATTGCTGCTCTGTGCGGCCAATCTTGCAGCAAACCAGAGAAAAAAAATTCGAGAAAGAGAGTCAGTACGATAATTGCGTGCAGCTGTCGAGAACGATGAGCACCAGTAATGCAACGTTTGGGCTGTTTTAAAGACTTGGTCAAAGATTCGAGTTCAAGTTTCCTGCAATGACATTTAACAGCAAACAGGACCGATGGATGCAATCATAATTTGTAGACCAGCACTCTTCGAACGAATGAGGAAAGCGTTACTATGAGTCATCAGAAATCGCCAGAGAGAATAAAATATTGAGATCAACACCGAGCCAGACCACGTGGCACCGCCTACATCGATGGGTTACTGTCTGGAAAAACCTTCCTTTCACGATTAGACATGTCAGTCCCCTCATGACATACAGCAGTAGCGCCAACAGCTTGCACTTGTCATGGAGTGACTGGACTCTAATGAACCATTAATTCATCGGCGAGGAATAAGTCATTTAGCATGAAATGATTATCAATCGCCTCAGAGCTTCTCAGGTGACCATACGGAAACTTGCGGGCACTGGGTTTGTAACAGTTGCAACGAGGCTGGTGCCGCTTCCGGAGAAAACGGTAGTTACGTGGAAGCCGACCCTAGCTTTGGCTACCTTCCCTGATGATGATCCGCAGACACGTATTTTGCTAGGCCGTAACCGACGTGACGAATGTCACATCGGTAGCAATTCAGCGGGAAAATCCTTCCTTTGTCACCTTCAACCTTAAGCAGGTGAACCGAAAGCGTTTTCAGGATCATAGGCCACTTCAGAAATCCTGCGGTCTGCTCGCAATGTGGGTTGCAAGGGAGTTTGCTGACCTTAAAGCAGCGGGAACTTTCTGGAAGTGGCAAAGTTGGCGGTAAACAACCTCAAAACACTAAGCTCCGTGTCATGAACGGAAAAAATGGTCTTTTTCGCTCTTGTTTGTCACAGAGTGGACCGGTTTCTTCTAACTTTGAAACCCATGCAGTAAACCGTTGGTGATCGAGGTTTCTGCATCAGCCGATTCCCTGCGAAAGCCACCGGAAGTCCACAAACCGAATCTCCAGTCTGAAGCTGATTTTGCCGAGTCAGCTTATGACGACACAGTACCGAGCAGACGGTGAACGCACGAGTTTGTGCGATACCAGCTTTTTCCAAACAAGTGCGATTGTGGCCAGCAATACGCTTCACAAATGCTGATCAAGTTACAATCAGCTGATGCGGTGCCGTGTGGCTCATTAGATCAGCGTATTTCTTCTAACCAAACGTTACGCCATGCTTCAAGCTCTTGTGAACACTATAAACTAACCATGTCGTCACCAGCCCCACCTATGATCGGTCCCACGAACCCTGATTTCGGGTTTTCATCCCAAAACCCTCACGTGACTCGCCCAATGGCACCATCAAAGAACACCTAAATCTTCCGACTCGAATGGGAAAGTTGACTATCACCAATGGTTTGTGTAGATATAAAGAGTTGGGAAGACCTCAGATATCTCTGGGGCAAACGAGAGTGAAAAAGCCGTTTTTCCCGTTCGTGACATGGAGCTTACTGTCTCCGCTGGAGAAATCTTCCCATGAACTAGAGGTCATAAAGACCTTCCTCCGGGGAGCGTGCGTCCGCCACTGGCTTTAGGAGCCTCCAGAACGTTTCCAACAGACGTCGGCTGCAGAGCCCTGAGATTTGGAGCGGAAAACGATAGGACGTCTGCACTTCGTCCTGCAAGTCTGGGCGTGTTTTGAGGACGGCAATGCCGACTCGGTGTTCGGATATGGCGAATAACTCGCAACGTTCGAACCCAGAAAGAGGTAACCTTTGCATCTTAAAGTATGGTTCGACACCGTTTAACCTGCGCTGAAGGATGGCGACATAAGGATCTGAATAAGTATTGAGATGACCAACACCGTCTTCCTTGATTACGGTGTAGCCCGGTGGTGTAGTAGGTGGACCTTGTAGGTCCACAGTACCGTGTATGTACCCATACAGGTCTCAGGATACGGTAGCTAACAAAACGTTGCCAGTCGTGATAGCGAATGAGTTCTACATTCCTCGAAAAGCCTGTGCAATGTGCTAGGTATCTTTAATCTGCAACTTATCGACGTGCCTTGCCATTTTGCGTCCGTGGTAAAAAGCGGTTAGCTTGTCAGCTCCAGCCCAACAGACAAACCATCAAGCGGATCGAATGAGGACCGTCTACCGAGACGTACCGAGAGGAGAAGAACAGTGGAAAGCATAACGGAACAGCTACATTACGCACTTGAACCACGTCATTTTCGAGCGTACTACTCAATCTGTGATAACCTCACATTACAGAGAAACTTGAAAAACTCCAGATTGCATCTGATGGCATGACAGCGATGAGTGATCACAACGGTACAGTGTGCAGAAAGTTGTTGCTGCGCAATACCACCGACTTACTATAGAGATTGCGGAAACTCGTCAGGGACGACCGATCAGCATCAGCATCAGGATCACGATCAGGAAGTTCATCCGAAAAAAACCACAACATTGGCACAGCATCAATGAATCACTTGTCAATGTTGTCGTTTTTGTGAATGGATTTTCTGATCCTGATCCTGACGCCTCGTTCCTGACAGGTTTCCGCAATCCCTCAGCAGTACTTGGCGGCAGATAATACCAGCAAAGAGTATAGATTAGGTAGAGGAACCGCTGTGTATAGCGTGGAGCCGTAAAACCTCAAACATGGAAGCGGTAGAGACACTTGCCACTACTAACGAACACTGCCATTGGTATGACGCCAAAAAGGCCGCGCCTCGGTGCAGTCGGGACTAGTTTGGCCGGTCCGGCAGGTACGGTTCGGCCTATCGGGTTACACCGAAAGAAAGAAATTTCCCGAAGTCATACATCTGAACCGAGCCTGGACTGGGTGCTAGTCCGGCAATGACTTTATGGTTGAAAGACTGGGTGACGTACGTACGCCTTCCCCTACCTAGTCTATACTCTCTGAGTCTCTGACACCAGGATTGAGGTTCGATAGCGCTGACAAAGCAAACTGCAGTTTTATTTGACGACGGCATTAATCTGCTGTCCAAGGACCAGGACTAACCACACGGTTGTACCGTAGTTGTTCCGATACTAACTTGCAAGAGACCATCAGTACTAAGGTGGTCACTTCCGTCTCGAATGTCGCTATTCTGTTCGCACACGGCGACGGCCCTGCAGCGCACCAGAGAGTAAGATTCGGGACAGTGAGCAGGCAATATTTTTACAGTGTTGCGAATTAGCCGAGTTTAATGCCTAGGGAGGATAAAGCACAGAAGCTGAGAAGGAGTTTTTGAATCGTTCAATAACAGTATATCGCCTCTTCAAACCAAAGAATTTGATTTTTCAATGAGTACCCTAAGTTACCCCTATGCCTTACGTTGGAGCGTCCTGCAGTTCTGTACTGGACCTACAGTGACAAAGACAAGAAGCAATCGTTTCTAGATCACCGCTATTGCTGGTAAGGAAACTGCTTACCCCCTTGCCACTGAGATTGAGAGGTGGTCGAAGCATGTTGGCCATCCCAGCGAAAATATACTGGAATGCAGTGCAGCAAAAGTTGGCCACCGGACCGATAAGGGTATCCGCCGTCTTCATGCTGCGGTTACATTGTCTCTGCGTGACAGATCAAAGAGGCCGTGGTACAGCTCAGTATCTCAAACAACTGGATATCGTAAAAGGCTGTTTCGGAAAGCAAAACACTTCGGACGCATTGTCGTGTGCAGATACCCATATGAGATCGCCATGATCATCTTAAGAATTATTCGGGTAACGTTCGGGCCGTTGATGTCGCACCTTTTGGACCGACTTCGATACTTGTCGCGACTGGACAATGAGGGCGGCGTCAAGCACATACGGTAGCAAAGCACACATGACCTCATGGGTGTCCGGTGGTGGCAGGAGCTTTCGGAATACGGCAAGAACAGCCTTTCCGTATTCAGGGTAAACGCGCGTTCAGAAATTGACTCGCCCGCATAAAATTAAATGTTGTGTCAAATGATGGCTGACTCGGACTACCTAAAGCTGACTCACGGGGGTGGTTGTAAGCTCACGATACGCCGTTTCTCATCAGACTGTTTTTCACCAAGGTAGACATGAGGATGGTGTGGTTTCACC